AACATCAGGCAGGTGTCCCATGCTCTGACTTGGAGCAGAAATATTCGCTTTAGAAAAACATCCCATTCAGAGCTGTCACTGGAGGGATTTTTGTTGTGCATGAGGATATATTCTTATAAGCTGTAACCATTTCATATGAATAAAAATCATGTATGAATAGAGTCAAGGAATGACTTCTGCAGTGTGGTCTGCCACCCTGCCTCATCTTTCTATGCAGTCTTTAGTCCCTTTAGAGGGCTATGCAGGGAAACAACTGCTAAATCTACTTCCTTTAATTGTCACTCTGCAAATTCAACAGAACTTTCTATAAAGATTTTTATCTGCTGTCCAAGACATGATCTTTTCAGACTTATGTCAAATGTTTTGTACTGAGTATGTTTGAAACTGTGAGTTGAATCACACACATCAGGATTTGCCTACTCAGCACGAGTACCAAAATGCAGCTGTTAATTTATTTTAATCATCTGTGTTGTGAATTTAAGCATGGGTAAAATGTTTTTCTGTTCCAGCAGAATACTCAGTAGTACAAGGCTAGCTTGATCCATCCTAAAGCAGTCTTTCTGCTTCTTGTTTTTGTTCAGATGACAATACCAACAGAGTGATGGTTGGCAAGATTTCATTTAACCCAAAAGATGTACTGGGGCATGGAGCTGAAGGAACAATTGTTTACAGGTAAATGACTTGCATTCAGTATTTAACAGAACAATTAATTTTTTATTGCATTATTTTTTAAAAAGCAAACAAACCCAACACCTAAGATGAACAAAAATACTTCAAAATATTTTGTAGGGTGTATTTTCATGCTGTTTCTGCTCTAGCAAAAGCTACCTCTCTCAGACATGTTTAAATGACCAAATGTATCTGTTTCCAGCTTGAAAACTACTTCAGTATGCCCCTGTGAAATGCCCTGTGTTGTCATTTGTTTTGTACCTTGTCCACGTTAGCCTTTTTCTAATAATTGGTCGATGTGGCTTTCCTGTCTGCAGGGGGACGTTTGATAACCGTGATGTTGCAGTGAAGAGAATTCTTCCCGAGTGCTTCAGCTTTGCAGACCGTGAAGTGCAGCTACTGCGAGAGTCAGATGAGCACCCAAATGTGATCCGCTATTTCTGCACAGAGAAGGACCGGCAGTTCCAGTACATAGCTATTGAGCTGTGTGCTGCCACCTTACAGGAGGTATCGAGTCTCTTCAAACCTAATGATTTTGAGTCTTCTCAGTTCAGTTTCAGGCCTTCAGTTTCCCTTAGCTTCATAAGTTGCTGAGGTTCTGCAGCAGGTGTCCCAGTTATTCTTGCCATCGCTTTTGTGAAAGTTAAACATTCCTAAAACAGGAACATTCTTAGATCTTCAGGAGTATCCTCCAACCCTGTACTGACCTAAGGGAAGAAGCTGTTGTCCTTTGATATTCCTGCAAATAACTCCATTTTAGGCATCCCTCTCCTACCATCTGGACCCTCAAAACTTGCTCCTGGAAAAACAGTGCTGTACAGAAATCTAACTGAATGATTTTACAGAGCTCATCACCTTCTGACAGAAAGGCTGGTGTGTGTGTGTTCCCAGCTAACATTAGACTGCCCACAGTTTCCTGTTTAACTTTTTTTTTTTTTGCATATTATCTATGCAGAAATTTATTGATAAGTGATTTTATGGCTCTATCTTCTATTTTTCTGTTGTCATGTATAGTACGTTGAACAAAAGGCCTTCAGTCACCATGGCTTACAACCTATCACCCTCCTGCAACAGACGACATCTGGTCTCGCTTACCTGCACTCCCTCAGTATTGGTAAGAATGACTATTTATTTTCAGTACTGGATACAGACTGATACATTTTCTTAACCATGAAGAAGGAACTGATCTGATGCTGACCAGTGAAGTGACTGGCTTCCCCTAGTGCTGGCAGCAAGCAATACGGTCTGTCCTAGCACTAGACTGATTCTGCCTTCAAAATTCTGCTCCATTTAGGGTAGCCATTACCATTTGTTCAGAGCACTGCATGTTTTTTGGGCAGAAGACATGTAAAATGTGTCTGCAGAACAGCTACTCATGATGGAATTAAAAAATATGCCACTGACAATAGTTTGATGTAACAGTGGTTCAGCCTTGTGAAAAATCTACAATGCAAATTTACAGATACTGTTGGGATTGCCTGGAGTGCATAAACAGGTGTTTGTTATAGTCCACAGGGACCTGAAGCCCCATAACATCCTCATCTCAATGCCTAACGCCCACGGGAAAGTCAAAGCTATGATCTCAGACTTTGGCCTGTGCAAGAAGCTGGCAGTGGGCAGACACAGCTTTAGCAGGCGGTCGGGTGTGCCGGGAACTGAAGGGTGGATTGCGCCAGAGATGCTGAGTGAAGACTGCAAAGAGAACCCTGTAAGTGTTTGTCCTTCCTTCAGCCCTCCCCGGGAGAAGGCAGCACTACCAGCAGGTTGCACAGCTGCAGACAGACCTTAAGATGTGCAGTGCTGGATGCCTCAGCATTCATGTTGATGCACATTAGCAGTGCCTTTTTTAAATGCTACTTCTCTCTCACCGTATGTCTATAAGTATTTCTTTATATGTAGCCATTTTTTACAATTAGTTACAAGTCTTAAATAATGTGATTCTGAGTTGTATTCTGTGCTCAGATGCAAATAACCACCTGATGATGAGACTCACATTCTCCACAGGAAGAAATCTTGTTGCTATTAATTAAATAATAAATTATTTATTTGCAGACATACACCGTGGACATCTTTTCAGCAGGCTGTGTCTTTTACTATGTGGTATCTGAGGGCAGCCACCCCTTTGGCAAATCTCTACAGCGACAAGCCAACATTCTGCTGGGTGCATACAGCCTGGAATTTTTGGATGCAGGGAGGCACGGTAAGAAAAGCACATCAACAAAGATCACGGCTGAATTCAGTGAATATCCAGTGGGTGCTAAAATTATCATAGAAAAGGCAAAACCACAGTGAAACCCACTTGGCAGTGATGAAAGCTGTATTCCTGCACTGAAACTTCTGAAGTTCTTAGTATTAATCTCCAAAAGCATCTCAGTTAGAAAGATCTTCCTAATTGCACTGATGCAATGCAACCTTCTGTTGGTTGCCTACAATATCTGCGAGGGTTGCATTTGAGCTATTGCTTGGGATTGCATAGGAGGAAACAGGAAATTTCACCATTTTCATACAGAATATTAGCTTTCCCTGCAGTTTCTGAATGCTCACCCTTTTCCTTGCAGAAGACATAGTGGCTCGTGATTTAATAGAGCAAATGATAAACATGGACCCTCAGAAACGTCCATCTGCCAGCTGTGTGCTAAAACATCCATTCTTTTGGAGTTTAGAAAAGCAGCTCCAGTTTTTTCAGGTTTGTCTTGACCACCAGATCTTGAATTTATTATTTTCATCCCTACTTTATGCATGTTTGAGATGACACAATGCAGGGTAACATGTTACAGTTTTTAAGAACAGAGTAGACTGCTGTGGTGAATGTGTGTATTAAGTGTGGGGTGGGAATTGGGTGAGGACTTGAGGTTCTTTCCAGTCTCTTCCCAAAGGAAAGAGGTCGCCTTCATTATCAGGAGGCCAGAATCTGTAATTTAAAATAACTGGGAAATGCTTGGGAATACAACTGAAAATTTTATCTTAACTGGACCGTCTCTTCCAGGACGTCAGTGACCGGATAGAGAAAGAAGCTTTAGATGGTCCAATAGTCAAGCAGTTAGAAAGAGGAGGAAGAGAGGTGGTGAAAATGGACTGGAGAGAGCACATCACTGTTCCTCTGCAGACAGGTAACAAATAATAGCGTCGTCAGAATGGCAGGGAGTCTCTGTTATCCCCAATTTGCATGGACAAGAAAGTAAGGACAGGGTCTCAGTTCTGGCACAGTGTTTCCTTGTCACCAAAGCATTTATTCAAATTATATGATATGTTCATATATTCAGTGAGACACACCTAATAAATATACATTTCTTTTGAGGCCAGCATCAAAACAAACACAAACCAGTTAATTTCTTTGGCAGATCTTCGAAAATTCAGATCATATAAAGGAGGCTCAGTACGGGACCTTCTGAGGGCGATGAGAAATAAGGTAAACAGTTTCTGCATATGTAAACCTAACAGACTAACAGGTTACTTGTGCATGAAAATGCACCTTGTACAGGCAGACCTGTAAGACTCCACCTGAGCTTTCCCCTACTTTTTATTTATTTTACAGAAGCACCATTACAGAGAACTGCCTCCTGAGGTGCAGGAAACCCTGGGCTCCATCCCAGATGATTTTGTACATTACTTTACAGCTCGTTTCCCTCACCTGCTCCTCCATACCTACCATGCAATGCATATCTGCTGCCAGGAAAGACTGTTTCAGCACTACTATGATCAGGACTCTGCAGCGAAAAGCAGTGCAGGAGATGCTGTTTGAGAGGAGAGAGCTTTCATCTCTGGAACCAACATTCCAAGCACAGGGCTGTGAAACAGGCCTACCTTTTGCAGGGAAAAGTGGGATCAAAGAGCTGAATTGTCTCTTTGAGGAAACCAAGCTTCCAAGAAGTGCCTTGTACTGTGCTTGCACTGCATCAGGAGATAGGAGACCAAGGAGCAAGCTGCAAAAGCAGTGAACCCTGGAGATGGAGTTATCCCAAGGAAGGTCTCAGGAAAGTGAAGAGGGAGAGCAAAAGCTGGATATAACCATTATCCACTATCCCTATACTGTACTTGATTTTGTAACTTGTGTTTTTCTGCAGAGAATCAAAATACAGTAATTGAAATTGTAGAATTATTAGGGGGGGACCTGCAAAAGGAACCTTTTAGTTGCAGCAAATCAGAGCCTGCCATTGCACTACTGCCACACTGCAGTGATTGTAGAGGGAATTGTTTTTAATAAGGCAAAACCTCTAAAAAGACTTACCCTTGTTAAATCAGCATTACCCTGGAAAAACAGACCCTCCTATTTGAGCAATGAAGTTATAAAACAAATACTGACTTGAAAAAAGTTAAAGGCTTTACGTAACTACATCGAAAACCTCATTGTTTTAATGTCAGCCAGTATTCACAGGAGAGCTAGAGCAGTACTTGTCTTAAAAACCAGTGTCTGCACAAGTAACTTCAGGAAGATACGCTGATGTCAGCAATGAGCTGCTCCTGAAATGGTAATGATTCACCCACTGCAAGCATTCCTTCCTTTCTTCTAAAGAAAAGGAGTGTCAGCTGCAGAGCCAGAGGTAAGAAATGAGTCCTGGGTAAAAGAAGCCAAAGAGGAACTGAGACATATTGAACAGTGAAGTTGATAGGAGGAAGAAAGCTACAAAGTTACCTCATTTTCTGCTTCATGTCCATGGAAACCTGTGTTTTTAAAGATGCAGTATTTCTTTTCTTTGGCCCTAAAGCTGTGACACAAAGCATCAAGTGTGTGCGAAGGATGAAGAAATGCTGAATTCTGAGTTGACAGAGGTGGGTGTGTTCTTCTACAATGTATTTATTTAACATATTTATATTTATTTAATAACTGTTTTGATACCACTTCCTAGTAAAAAGTGGTACAAGTACAAAGCATGCCAAATCTTTCTTAATCATTTTTGTATTTATATTTAATCATATTATAATAACTGGAAAAGTTATACTGCATCTTTCAAAAAATTCATTAGCTCAAGGAAAAGTGGAGATTAATCTGATTGTGTCACTGTGTCTCCAACTAATAAGTTATGGACTGTTCTATGTATGAGCAATTGGGCACTTACAGTGACTTTACTGGAACACTGTAAGGCTTTTCCTAGTTTTACAGTGTATGAGAGCAATTAAGAGACTGAGTGTGCAAATTATGTATTTCTACAGCTTAAGAAAAAAAGTACTTTTAACTAAGGAGATTCAAAGCCTATTCCTATTTTTGTATTTCTCATGTAAAGATCTTTTACAATTCTACTAAATAAAGACTTGTACTCTCATGACTTTAGTGATGATGCGTGCCTGTGGAAATAAGCTACACTGCTAGCACACATGGATTAATGCAGGTTTCAGAACCAGGGCTGGAGAAGGTGAAAGGGAAAGGGAACAGCACAGCCACACCAACCTCAGGTTCGTATTTTAGCATAAAACCCCTCTTCCTGCTATTTAAAGCTATAGCTGTGGGGCAGGACAGGAAGAAGGGGAGAAGCTACAAGAAATAAATATAAGCGTATATAAACATATATAAAAATAAATAATGTCCACACTACTGCAGGCTTGAGAAGTCTTCCTTCTGAGACACAGGAAGGAGTCTTTCTTTCCAAAGGCACCCATTCTTACCTCTCAGAAACCAAGATTCAAACTCTACTTCACTGTATTACAAAGATAATTACTCTATCTGTCCTCCTCCAAACTAACAAACAGAAAAGCCAACATAAGAGAAAAAAAGCATAAACCTGCACTCAACTCAGGGTGGCCCTGCTTTACAAAACAGGTAGGAGTCATGTGGCAGATTGAAGCCAAGCTCATCCTTCACATGGTCACAGTCAAATACCCCAACAATCTGATTAATGAATCAAACCTGGGAGAACTTTAACAAGCCATGTGACAAAGCTCTTGTCTCTGGGCACCCTGTTAAGCCATCAGAGCACACTTTTTCAAATACAGTCTCAGACACTGCTGAAAGGGCCTGAGGACAAACACTGTATCATGTCACATAGTACTGAAAATCAAGGATTTAATATTTCAGTATCTCTTAAGAAATTAACCTGTGAGTACAATGAGTACAATTAAATGAGACCAAGCTGCCTAGCAGTTATCCATGCTCATTTTGCAAGGACAAACATCTTCAAAGATACTCATTTCTCCAGTGCTTTGCTCTGAGGGGCTTAGAACAGACAGACCACTTTATGTCCCCTCTATCAGGTTTCATAAAAATGCTATTAGATACTTTCCCCCCAGCATTCCCCTACCTCTCCAACTTAGTCTAGTTTCTCTGTACAATCAGTTGAGAAAAAGGACAGTGGATTAACACCAAAAGTTAAATATTAAGAAAGATTCACTTACTTCTCATCTCCAGGTGCAGACCGCTAAGTTCTTGAATGGTTTATAGCCAGAGAGCTAGACAAAAGTTATGGTTTAAATACCATGAGGGAAACTGGGTTTCATAAACACTGTGAAACAGCTAACATTTGTTGCATTAATTTAAATAGGTCTCAAGATGAGAAAAAAAATACACAGAAGCAGTGTTTTACTTATATTTAATCAGAGACTGTTACAAAGCAGTATATATACATACATACGTATGTGCAGTTATCTATTCCTGAAATACACAGTTCATAGAAGGTTCCCAAGGGATGCCAATGAAGTTTGCTCCACATTTTCTTTGAATCTTCTTTGTAAACTGAATGCTATAAAAATTAAGCTACAATTATTGGTACTTGCATGCACTAAAGCAATGCACATACTTACCAGTCCTTCTGAAATCAAATTCAGCATCAATATTTTGCCCTTGATCAAAGATCACTGATCCTATCCCCTTCATATCACTTACACAAGAGCTGCATCAAGTTACAAGAACGTTCCTGACATACTAACATCTGTAGCTGTACTTCTACAGAGAGGGACATATTTCAATGATGTGCTTTACCTGAGGAAAGTAAACAGGAGTCTAAGTTTGCTGCACAGTAACTAAAGTCTCTGAATCTGAAGTCATTAAGCAGAAGTCTGAATAAAAGTGTGAACTGGCTCCCTGTTCCCCACTTACTCCTTCAGAACTGCATTAGACTGGACAGCTGCTGTAACTGCTACGTCTTAAGACTGCCCACTTGAATATGAAAGCTCAGATTCCTCCTGTTTTGTCCCATCTCAAAAGAAAATAAACTTAATTCTACCAAAGAATACTTCAATTGCCATAAAGTTTCACAAAAAGAGAACATCCTACTGCAGTTCACACTAGGATCTACCCAAAGAAACACAGTTTGTTGATGACACAGTAAAGAACTGTGGGGGTACAAGTAGTGCAGGTCAGCATTCATCCACTGGCAGAACTGAGATTTCAAATAGTAATCCAGCAGCCAAAAGCAATCCATTACTTATTCTTACAATAATTATTACAGTGCTCAATAAATGAGCATCAACTACACAAGTCAGAAGGAAGAGGCACAGTCTGTTAAGGTAACAGCCTCACAGCAAGGAATTCCTATTAAACATGCCATGAAGTTGTAGGAGATTGAGAGGCAAAGATAAGCTATAAAATTTATTACGCAACTTCTGTTTTTCGTCTAGGGAGAAACACCCAAGCAAAATTATTACAATTTACACATCACTACTTTTGCAAAGCAATTCAGTGCAAACGCCTGAAAACCAATATAGAGAAGATGCTGGGAGATGGGCTCTGTGTCCAACTATTATAAGCACTGGGAATCTCCTTGAAACCTCATCTTTCTTTGATGAGATCTGCAACATTACATACAAGTTCAGAACCCCCAAACAAGCGATACTGCTGAAGTGTCACTTCACTCATACCTGTTGAAAAGCATTATGTGAGCCAGTAAAACGTTTCTGTCTGGCTACTACACTGCTACATCCTTGTGTAATTATCCACCAATGGTTTCCAAAAGCCCTTCAAATTCACTGTGTGATAATTCACTTACCAAGTGTAAGTTAAGGCACAGTTTCACTGCTTATCCAGCAGTGAATCTATCCTATGTGCCACAGCACAGAAAACTTTCATCTCCCACACTGATATGTGGAGATGAAGCATACGAGGCTTAACTAGAAGTGGGCTATAAGCCAGAGAACAAGCAGCTCCTGGCATACCAGCTATACAAAGCAGAAATCCTATTGGTAGCAATAGTAATTAACAGCTACAGAAAGGTTACAGTACAGCTACAAATTCTTACAAACCGAACTGCTTATTCCCCAGCACAAGATCAAGTATCCCATAATTGGCTCACTGATAAACTGCCTTCTGTAATAGGCACATTAACGAAGAAATGGCTGACTTTAAAACACCAAAGGCAGCCTGGTAGGGTTCTATATTAAACTTCCCTTAGAAGTGCTTTCACATATTACCTAGTCCACGAGCATAGTTAAAATCATTAAGAGACCTTCAAAAGATTATCTAGATATTCACTCACTACTGAGCACAGCAGTAGGTAACAAAGATAGAGTGACATTTCAGAGATCAAAATTCCCTCTGTATTTAAATGGTATCATTTGAACATATTATTTCAAATAGGAACATCAGGTACTTACAGATTAAACTAACCTGTACTGGCAGTGCTGTAGGATATTTCTTCTCTACCAGTAAGTAGCAAATGCTGAAATTCTGCTGCTAGTTGACAAAAACACAAATTGTATTAAACCAAGGAGTTTAACCCATAATTTAGTTTTTCAATTAAAAAAGCTGCCAAACTTCAATTACTATAATTTGTCACTTAAGAAAAGCATATGAAGTGAAGGCAACTATAAAATTACTTTCAATTTGCCTTTACGTTTCTGTTATTTTGATACACAAGCCAGAAGTTTAACAAGGTAACCCCATTGCCTAACACAAATAGAAAGGAAATCACAATACTTACATTGCCAGGGTCCTTCATTAAATACTCTCATAAAGTGTTTTCTTATTCTAGACTTTACAAATGAAAGAGCAAAATGTATTTTCTTCGACTAGAAGCTAAAGAAGTCAGTGCTTGCACGTATCACACACTTCTACAACACAATGGGGGGACAAAGAGAAAGAAAGAAGCTTTGCATGACATCTTTATTTCAAAGCATTATATACTTCCCTAAGTTGGACACTGAAACAGTTTCCATGGTTGTATGGCATAGCTTTTGGGTAATTCTAAGTTGCCACCAGCCAAAACCATTTATAGATACCGATTACTCAGGGCAGCAGAAGCTGAAATTCGGCACCTACCCTCTTTAAAAAGAACCTGGGAATGTGGTTAAGATGTAGGGAAGATTTAAGATCAAATTTGAGACATGAGAAACCTGGATCTGGTGTAAGGTAGTTACCTAACACATACACTGTAATGCCAAAATGTGGATCACTTGCTTGTGGTTAACATGTTACTTGCACTCAATCTCTACTGTTTTCTCAGAACGTTTCAACTTTTCTGAGAAACATGAGCATTAAGGTATGTTCAGGACTTATCTGCAGGGAAGTTTAATTCATCATTATGGAAGTGGCAGTGCTGCTGACTGCTACTACTGCAGGTGAGCCTAAAACAATAGAACAAGTCAGCGTAAACTTGTTCAGAAGGGACAAGGTGTGTTTTTACTCACAACAGAGGTCCGATGTATAAATGTAAGTCCTCACCGACAGCCAGCACAGACTCATCAGGACGCTGAGAACAAAGGACTGAAGGATAGCACCCAGGAGCACCCAGCTCAGGACGGATGTGGCTGGCTGCAGAGGCGGCACGCCGAGGCGCCTGGCTCCCTCACACCTCCCAAGAACTTCCATGGAGCAAAAGAGCATTCACTATACAACAGAATCTCTGTATTCTGTACTGGAATTGTATTTTCTTCCAATAGAGCCTGAATAAAAATCTGCATGCTCTGATAATCAAAAGATTGCATAAAGCTGCTGTTTAAAGGAGAATACAAGAAAATTATCAAAATTTTTCAGAACTTCCCAAACAAATCAGTTCTATACATAGCACTTCAGCCACCCAATGAACACTCCATCCCCTTCAGGGCTGCCTCCGAGACTTCTCACTCCCAAACTCCTGTTTACCTCACTTAGTTCTGATTAAAAATCGCAGCAGTCACCATCACTGCATTTCTGAAGCAACTGCCAGCATTTCACTGGTAACGCTGTCTTGACTGCAGGTATATTAAAATGTAAGTTTGGAGATAGCCTGCCCTCAGAGTACTAAGGGTCATAGCAGTTATCAGGCATGGCACAGAACAGTCCTAAAGCCAGCCAGAACTCCTGCTGTGCTATGTACTTTTCTACATCTCTCCTTCACTCCTCAGCACCAGCATGTTGAAATTCACTCAGTTTAGCAGAATTTCAGTCATTCCTAATGTTTAAGAAGAGCCACGTAGCTCTCCACAATCTTAAAAACCAACCTCTTCAAAACCTGCTTCCACTTCTGCCTATGAAAATCAATTCACTAAAATATGACAGATATTAGAAATGAAATTCCACAGTGCATTATACAGCTTTGTGACACTGCTGCAATACTGACAGCACGCACTGGAGTGCCTGTAAAAACACTACCAACATTCCAAATCAATAAATTCAATTTACAGAGTAAGTTTCTTTTGGTACTACCCTCCTTAGATCCATGAGGCAGGAAGGAGGTCACCAACAGAGATTCATCAAAAGATCAAGATGTGAACCCTTTGCAATCAATGGGAACTTTTCAGGTTGTTTTAAAGGGACGACAGGGCAGCTATTCTGACAGCTGAGCAGATACTTGCACCTTTTCAGCATAGAGCCATCATGCCATCCTTTGGACTAGAAAGACAGCAGTACTCTGCACACATACCTTTTAGGACGAGGCACAAAGCAAACGGAAAATGCACATCATTAGCTGCTGTAAATTTAAGCACAAACATTAGTCTGTGGTAACAGGTCAGAGTAACACGGATATAGCCTGCTAAAACCACCAACACCCAAACAGGGAACAGAAAAGGTCCTGTCCAATCCATACAGACTTACAGAAAAGGACAGTGATGTAAAGGGTAGAAGCAAAGAATGTTTGAACAACAGGAAAAACCTAGAGCAAAAAGCCGTAATTCATATGGTATTGTCACAGAATAGCAGTACATGGAATTATCCTGGAGTCAAATGCATCTTTCAGAAGCAGTGTGAAATTCACTTTCTTGAAATTTTCCAAAAGCTTTAAGAAAAAAAAATTAAATAGTTTTGTGATGCTATGAAGTGTTGTGTCAAACCATACAAAAATATACAGAAATGTCTCATCTGCTCTGAAGTATCAGTACACACAGCTTGATCAACGACAAGGGAGACAGGAACTGCATCCCTGACACATACTTTCCACGAACATGTAAACCTACTTAGCTCCAATAAAAACAGAAGTTTGCTTTGAGAATGTTTAGCTCTCACTAGAATATCAATGTATTGAGGTAGCCCAAGTGTGGATCTAAGTAGGGCACTTCATTACAGACAATGAAGCATTTGTGTGAACTTCAGCTACATGTTTGTGATACAAGCTAAATACAAGTAGCTGCATAAAAACTACCCCATGCTGCATCATTCTTAAATGAAAACTGATGACAAAATTGAACACAATGCATCCAAAATTTGGCTTTTTTTCCATCTTGAGTCTTTCAGAGATTCAGCTGCTGAAAGAAGTACAAGCCATGCTGAATACTTAGTTAAATGGCTTCTTTAGATACTCTGGGGGAATAAGAACTAAGCCAAATGCTCCTGGAGACTAAGTGAAATAACGACCAGTTGTGCTAGTGTATCTTAAAGCACTGTTCCTAAGAGTAGCACCATAGTAAGGAAACCAGTAGTCACTCTGAAACATGGAGCAGAGGACATGTCAACTTTCCAGTCAGAGACTACTCAGGCCCCCCATGAGAAATCCACTGCTTATCTTTCAATTCAACTTACTGACATCTCCAAGTGCGTCATTACTGATCACACTCTTGAAGAAATGAGATGCATATTGTGCTCCACAAAAAATTAAGAACTTCCTTGGACAAAACCTGCTTTTCTGAAGCTTTCTTTAAGCCACCTCAAGCATTCAAAATCAGCGTACTATGAATAAGCAGCAACAGTAAAGCTCCTTTTTTTTCACAAAAGGTGGAAGTTTTTGCCAGCTATTCTGCAAAAGTAGTACATTCAGACAGCCATAACCTTCAGCAAATTTTGGATATGCAACAAGCCCACATAGCCTCAAGAAAGTAAGATGATTTTTTTTTTCCAGTACACTGACGCAACAGATTACTGTGAAGTTCAGTGTATTTAAGTGATCAATGAAAAGGTTTTCCTGAAAGTGACAAACAGAAAGAACTTCAGCTTTCTTTTCTCATTCTTCTATCAACTGGAATCTCTATTGCTTCACAGGGCTCTACATTAACATTTGTTGTGGTGCAGCTTACAAATACAGCAGCTGTCCTCCTCCATAGCAACTGTAATTTAGGCTGCAAGTCTTTGTGACAAGGGATGTCACTTCTTAGTTAAAACCTCAGTATTTCAAGCACTTTGTTAAATACATCTTTCCAGAAGAAAAATTAGTAATTAATCTGTAGTTTTTGAACCAGCAGCATGTATAAAAAGTCACATTACCAAAAGCAGAACAAATACAGCACAAATAAAACACAAGGGAAGGGGGCAGGGGTACAGTGTGGCTGAAGGACTCCCTGACCAGTCACGAAGGAAATGCTCCTTAAGTGAAACAGCACCCAAACCTCTCAAAACATGTTCCCTCCCCCTGAGACTCTTAAAAAAAAAAAACAGTGGTAATAAAAAGATAAATATTAATATAGAGCCCATCTACCAAAAGAGAATTAAAAACCTAAATTAAAATAAAAGTAGGGGCCTTCACCAAACTTGCTGCAAGTTTGGGGACATAAATATCCAACAGCCATAAAGCTGTGAAAGCCCCCAGAACGAATAAAATAAATCCCACTTGCCTCAGACTGAACAGGGCAACACTGAGACTCTGCCTCAGCCTGTCCTATGGCAGGGCTATAGGAAGAAGAAAAATTGGAGTTTTAGAAAAAACATGACCCAATTAAGTGAAAGACATGCATTCAAAGTTAACAAAATTCCAGTGATCAAGCAAACCAAAGGAAATGACTGCTATATCACCTATTTTGGTAGGCCCACGCTGTTTGCAGCTATTTCTCACTTGGACAGTTTGTTTTGTAACTTGATCAGTGGAACAAAAGTCAATTGTTTTGGGGCGGTTCTCCCCTAAATGACAGTACTTAGTGCTATCACCAAAAGAAGAGGGAAAGATTCCATCAGCCACTGAATGTGCTCACACTCACCTTAATTTTTATGTAGAAGCTAGACCAGTACAATTATTAAGACATTTACTATTATTTTTAAATAGTATTAATTTTTAAATTGCAGCCCCAGCTCACAGACTGGATATCAGTCTCAGCTTAACTGAAGAGCCATAATGCCCTTCTTACTGCTTAGAAAACTATTTAATTTTTCATCTCGTATTCTGAATGCTTTGATTCTGTAGAATAACTCCAGGTTACAGATTCAATTTTAGCCAAGCTTTAAGAAAGCAAGAGACATAGCTGTATTTAGGTATTGTTCAATAAGTCCATGTGGAAAACAATAGCAGAAACCATAGAAGGCAGATGCAGCTGAATGTCTTTCTAGAAGCTTGCTTTTGTTCTCTTATGCATGCACAGAGCAAGGAACAGTAATCCACTGAAATTACATATACATCCCAGCCTCAAATGTACTATCAGCACCTAAAAACCTCATCTCTAGAAGAAAAAAAAACAAACTCCAAACATTTTACAAAATAAAGATTTTCTGGTCCATACAAGATAAATTTTCAAGAATTTATTTAAAGCAGACTTTGCCAAAGTAGAAAGATATCCTAAGGATAGAAGAAAACAATCCCAGCATGCCTTCTGATGAACTAGTCTGAACTCCTCTAAGATTTCTTCATGTGAGTATCAGACATCCAGCTTTAAAATTCAGCAAATATAACAAGATAAGCCTCTCTCTCATAATGGTATTGAGAGACCATGCATAAACAGTTCAGATCTTCAAGATATTCATATCTTGCTTTAACATCTTTTACATCTTTTCCCCACTTTGGTCAGAGCTTTTTTTTTTTTTTTTTTTTTAAACACTGGCATTGAGTTCAAATTTAAATGAAGATTTCGACCAAAAGCCAACTGCAACATCTTGTTTTACTATGAGAGCTGTGACAAGTTCAGACAACAATGAAAAAACAAAGCTGCTGCCTATTATTCTATCATTACGGTTCCGTAACACAAAATACATAGTCCTGAACACTGCTGCAATCTCCTTCCAGGGAAAGATGAACTAAAGCAAAAAACTGCATGCCTGCACTGCATAAGCAATTTTGCAAGCACAGCTATGTCCTAACTTTGTACTGTAATGAGTTTTTATATAAGCAATTATTCCAAGTTGTTTTACCCTTTTTGGGAAGGGCACCATAAATCCAACTCTCTGAACGTTAAGAAGCAGTATCCACAGAAATGAAGGCAGGGACCAACAGACAACATATGCACAGAAGTACCTGCCTGTTTTCAAAGAGTACACGAGAGACACAACAGTAACTACAGACAGTTACATTGCAGCTCTTACAGCACAGAAACGACAGGAGCAGCAAAGGGAGTATCCAAGGGAAAGATCACAAACAAAAAAAAACCTTTCAACTGCTTGTAACGTATTATTAGGGTACAACATGAGTAATACGTGGCAGAGCTTAGCTGAGGGTTTGTAACAACATTACTACTAAGGAAAGCTCCATTTTAAGATGTGTCCACACTCTAAGCCTAGGTGCTATTAGCTACAAAACAATGCTATTATTGGAAAAATCACACATTTGTTATTTGATGGGGGGAACTCCTGGTGAAGACAACTTGCAGAATAGGCTAAGTTCACAGTACATGCAGTACTCCTCTCAACTACATTCCCAGGAAAAGTAGGAATCTGAAAATAACATACCAATGAGTTACAGAAAGACACCAAAGGGAGAAGGCATTTGCTTTACTAGGGGCAGGAAAGCTAAGCATTCTTACAACAGCAATACGACCTTCAGAAAAAGCAAGAATTTGCAAAGTTCTAAAAGCAGAAGTTAAGATCAACGTATAATGTAAGAACTCTACGTATAACATTACAAAAAGGGATAAATAAAAGACATTAAAGATCTCTCTAGTGCTTTGCTCCAGTTATCCTTATTAGATAAACAGAAGAAAACCAAGTAGTAAAATAAAGTAAACAAGAATATAAAAGTACTGCCTAAGCGTAAGTTCTGTTAGACTTATGTATAAAGCAAGATGAAAAGCTAACAGAAGATCAGACATCAAGGCCCACTCAGCACATCTGCAAGCCAAATGCTGCACATCTGACAGGTGAGCGGCAGGCAGCAGTGATCGGAGAGAACTGCTTCTCAACAGAGGCTTGGAGTTATGGGCTGAAAACAACACTTCAGAAAAAGCATGACAATTCTTCATGGTTATACAAAGGCCATTAGCTGGCATCAGAACGTACTGGATGTGTCAGTGCCTTTATGATGTATTCTGCGACCCAAACAATTGGATGCTGTGACAATGTAGTATTTTAACCACACTGTTCTTCTGAATGACTACAGGAAGCACTCATTAAAGTCATGCGGACTTAAGTTGAGATAAAAATCCCTCAAGTCCTTCAAGTAGAAGAGCCACAACGCTCAGTACTGAGTGGGGAAAAAAAATATCTATCAACAACAAAAACACTGTGGAACTTACACAGACACAAAAATGCTGACACTCTTTCTAGCACACCCTAACAGAGACAATCCCACACATTAAATTGCACAGATAAGGCTTGAGGCTGGAACATGTATTTAAAGTTGACCTGCAAATGAAAAATTCACTACTCTCTTTCTACTTGCTGTGAAGAGACCAGGAACACTCTTTTCACTTCTCTTCCCTCCAAAACATCTCTCCCTGCCTTCTCCTTCTCATCAGAACCACAAAACGCTAACACAGCCACGTCAGACATGCAGAGAACTACAATCTGGGTGGTCTTCCATATTTATCTGCTTAGAGTAAAATTAATCTTTATGGATAAGACTTCTCTTTTATAACTGTCATTAGGAGCACTGATGAGGAGGCTTCTTTCATTAATTGCCTCAAGAAACTTGTATCAGATCAGAGCACAAAATGGACAGTTCTGAATACTGAATGAAGTTCTGAATATTGTGGAAGTGAAAATACAGCACACAACATTATTCTAGGCCCCTCTGTCTCCTTCACACACCCTGAGATGAAGTTCTTTTTTCTCTTTTGCAGGTCAACTTCAATACAAAAACTGGAAGTCACTCACCCATGTGACATGCACCTAAGCTTCTAGAAATCTCCATCTAAAAGGCTCCTGAAATAGGTATCTTTTGCACATTAAAAAGAATCAGATGAAGAATGACCTAACAGGGCACGTCTGGCACTAGGATGCACCTTGCAGCTTTTACATCCTACAAGTAAATGCCAGGACTAGAAATCATTTAAAATTTACTGAGGACAAGAAAGCACAACTAAAGAGACATATGCCATTGGGAGAAATTACAAGCAAGAGCTAAGATGTGCCTCCTGCACTCTCATTTTTCAAGAGTCAGTTAATAAGTGTACAGGTCTTGCCTACTCAGACGTGCACCTAAACAACTTAAGTTTTTGGTAACAACAAATTCAGCTTTTATCAAAACAGCACCAGTAAGTGTGTTCAGTACACCAACAGCTACCATGGCATGCATCTGTACAAACCTTTCAGGCAGTTGTCCGCAGCTGGTCGTGAATAAAAAGGCATATAAATTTTTATCTTCTTTTATTACAATGAAGTTTATAACAGTACAGAAAAGTCACACGACCTTAGTGGGTCAGTTTACTTAAACCCTGAAACAGGAGGAATTCTAAATACATTAAATATCGTTACATGTTCAGACTTAAATGTACAAGTAGTTGGGAACAGTTACAGCCCTCACCAAACTATGTTGGGGACACGAAGTCCAACAGCACCTGAAGTGCTGTGAAGGCATCATTTCACAAATAGCAACATAATGTTACAGAACTTGCCTTTAAGGTGGTATGTTCATGTAATTCCAGCGCCTTCACAATTTAACGAACCATATTTACTATACTTCACTTCTAAAAACCTAGATGAAACATGAAAAAGAAGCCATACAGTATAAATTGCAACATCAGGAAAAGTTCCTGTTAATATTCCAAATAAATTTTCCCATGTAAAATAAGAATGTCCAATAGTTCCTAGTTGCCTTGCATGTGGGGAAGATACTTTTTTTTTTTTTTTTTTTAAGTCACAATGAAGCCTTAATTGATGGAAGCTTGGCTATATTAACAGCACAAGATGAGAAAAGGTTTAATCTCCAAACCTATTAGAGCGTGTGTAGTAGCATCAGTAGCGGCCACCTTGCGACATGACAGGAGGTCTCATTCCCATTGGAGGTCGAGGAGGTCCACTTTGGTACGGGGGCACCATCGGAGGTCCCTGACCATAAGGAGGCATTGCTCCAGGAAGGTAGCCTGGCATGCCCTGGTGATGAGCACCATACTGACCTATAAACAAAATATTTAAGATGCAAAGAATTCATTTATTTATTTTTTTTTTTAAATGGGCACAGCTGCATTTGTGAAAAGCTGTTTTTCATAGTACCTGACATTTCAGATTTAAAAAAAAAAGAAAGACAGCAAATGAGAAGAAAATACAGAGATGTATAATTACCATGTGGTGGCATTGGAGGTCTCATTCCTTGTTGCTGCGGAGGAATTCCAGGCTGTGGTGGCATCATACCTCCAATTGGTCCAACAGGTGGATTACCCAGGGAAGCTTGTCCCGGACGAGGAAGATTACGCTGATACTTGGGCAACTGAGCCCTTCTCTCTTCCTAAAATGAGGAACAGACAACCATAACATACTCTAAGACTAAAACTCTGCAAAAACAAAGCGAATAAAAATGTAATAAAGTAGATTAAAGGCACTGAATTATCATTATTTTAGAAATTTAAGATTGCTACTAGTGAACACTCCACAGTAACATCAGGATTTTTTCTCCCTTCCTTCAAAGTTACTGTACTAACACTGATCACTCTAGTACATAACACAGATTCTCTGAAGACTGTCTTTTCTTCAAAACATGAGACAAAAGCAAATCTAGAGATACATGAACTGAACTGAAGGTTTGCTTGTTTTACCCACAGTCTTGATTTCTGACTGCTGTAACAGCATCAAGATAACTTCAAAACGTTAAGCCTTTTGTTTGACACTCACTAGCTGTACTTAGCTAAATTCAAGCTTAAGCCACATGAAGAAATGAATTCCAAGTTATATTTTGGGTTAAATAACTCCTTATCACCAGAAGGTAAGACTTCTGCGTGTTTTGTTGTCTCACCTTTACTAAAACCATTACACAGAACACAGAATATATTCTAATTAAGTCAGCCATATCAGCATAAATAGCATTTTCAGCAAGATAATGAAAATACGTTAACTTACCAGTGATATATCCTCATCTGGATGGATCAACTTACTGGTTGCACTGGTTGTGGTAAGGGTAGCAGGCTTACTTGTTATAGATGCAGCTGGTTTAGCCGCAGTACTGTTTGTGGTGCTAGTGGTTGAGGTTGTAGACTGTGTGTAAGCAGGGAATGTAGGTTTGGGGGGCTCTGTTGTTGTTGCTGCTGTAGAATTCAAAGGTTTGAAATCAGTACCAACCGGACCTTGAACAGCTGCTGCAGCCTGTGAAGCACAGAGATAGATCAATATTTATTTCCTAAAGCGTAAGAAAACTTAAATTATATCTGTTAGACCTTTGAAACCTTCCAGTGAAATACATATTTAAAATAAGCTCGACAAAAGTAAAGTTCAGCCTTATCACATACTAAAGCAACTGAAAACAAGACAAAATAAAATCCAGTATATACATACATACAAACATACACACACAGGAAAGTCTAGAATTCGCAGGTCAAAAGCCACAACTAGAAAAAAGGAACAACAACAAAAAAATCCTATCAAAGTTTTCACCTCAAGTACTGAGGTTGGTAAATGCCTAAATCCTTCCTAAATTACAGTTTTATTAACAGCTATAAGCATAAAATCACAATTTTCTCAATAAACTAGCACACTTTAGCAACCATTAGTTTAGAATACAGCTCAAAGTGTTAGCATTCATTAAAATTAGGTATTTAAAAACGTTGTTATTGAACATTAAGAAAACTACTGTGTCAGGTCTTTCGTTGTAAGCATTCTCTCTGAAAGTATTGCAGTGTTCTTTAAAGAACTATGTCTCTCTACAGATCTTCAATATCATTTCTAAGTAAAGAATCAACTCAAGGCACATGAAGTCCACTAAGATGACAGTATCTACGCTTTCCTACATTGCTCTTAATTGAAAGTTTTAGAAGAAAAGTTGGCTTTATCAGACTGAAGATGCAACAATCTTCAAAACAAGCCTTAGTTATGAGAGAATGCTTTTGTTTCTGGTCACTGTATGCTTACAATACTTTGCTGAACTTTCTAATAAAAATAACTCCATTTTTTGCACATAACGCATCTCACAAAATCCCCTACATTCTGACATACTGTATTAAACACCGAACTAAAAAGCCTTCACCATGCATCAAGCTAACCACTGCCACTAAAATGCATTTAACTGCTTTCATGCTTATTTAACCCTTTAGAACCAGGACATAGCATTTCATACTTGCACTCTGTCTAAGAAAAATTGGGCACTTCAACATGCTTATTTCTACTAAGATGCAACTCACAGTTAAGGACTCTGCAATTTTACCAGCTAAACATAATCAGGAATATAACAAATTATCTGAAGATGTTTAGTCAATTTTAATTTTACAGAACGGTCCAAAGGGTTAAGTTGCAAAGCAATTTGTTTTTAACTGTGACTTCCTGCGTACTTGTGCTGTGCTAGGAAACAGAGCGTTAGAAGACGCTGACAGACTTTCTGAATTGGAGGAAGCTGTACTTGAGCTTGTGACAGGTGTCCCCATCTGTAGCATAAAAGAAAGGAAACAGTGAAAAGTCTCCAAACAAATGGGTGGAAAGTATCCAGATGAAAAGGGTTTCTCATGCTAAGGGCTGTGTTTTTGTAAATGAGTACCTTCCCTGTAGAAGTCCAAAATGCAAATAGGACACCATGAAGGTTAAATACTTAAGGACTTACACATAGCAAGAGAAATCAAAATACAGAGGTCACAAGCCATTCTATCAATTCCCACTTCCCTTCCCAAAATATTTAAACAGCGTTACTGCCTTAGTTAAATCATTCAGACAACGTTTAATCCAGTCTGAACAGAATGATAGAATTAATTAGGCCTTCTGCTGGCAAATAACCCCTTATTAAGAGAACAAAAGAGAATAAGTCTTCTCAAGATTTACACTTCGGCAGTTTTAGGTTAAGTTCTAAGCAATCAGATTCCTACCGCTGACTGATGCCTCCCTTCACCCACCCAAAGAGCCCATAGAAAATGCAAACTAAAGGGATTAATGAAAGAACTGTTTTGCCTGCTACTTTCTTCCCCACTGCTTACAGAACTTCTGTCTGGTTTCATGGCTGTTGTAAGATAAACAAAACAATCTTTTAAAATTCATTCAAACACTACAATGAATTAAACTTAAAAATCAGCACAAGCAAGAAGTGTAACCAGTCATTTCTTGTCTCCTAATAACAGAGGAAGCTGATACACGGTAATCTGAAAACTATACCCATAGATTCCAGGCTGAGATACCTTACCTGCCCTGCACTTGGGAAGAGTGGTTTAGTAACTGGAGGCTGAGGGGTAGGTGCTGATGCAGCAGGAGCTGGAGGTCTGTTAAGAATGCCCGGTGCTGTAGCAGGCTGTGCTTGTGTCATAGGAGGCATCCCAGGACGAGGACCAACAGGTGGTGGCATACCTACAAACCACAAAGAACCTGTAATGTCTCAGGCTCAAGAACAGGAATATTCCGTTAGAGGATTCTGTTCCAAGTATTCAAAGCCTTCCCTATGGGAGATATACTTTTAAGCCAATAGATATAGTCAGCAGTCACCATACACAGCAACTAGATCAGAGGTCACGAGCTCATGTCAAGACTGTTAATTCTCCATGTCCCTCTCTAGAACATTTAAACAAAGTTTTACTACCTTAATTTACTGCTGATCACCAACAAAGGTCCATATGTAGGCAGTTACCTTAAACACTTCAGAGCAATACTGAATCAGGTTGTATATTTCCATTACAGCTTCAATGATAAGAGAAGCTTACACTCTCAAATAAATCAATGCAATCAACACTGTATCTGCTTCCAGAACACTGTCTCTATGCTATCATGAATGATATCAATACTTTGAAACACTCTGCTGGGGACGTTTGGCACAGCAGACAGTGACACAGGAATTAACATTCCTCATTCCTTTGACTAAAAGGCCTTCAAGCTAGTATGCAAGTTAGCTGAAAATAAGTTAAAATCTTAGCGCAGCCTACCAGAGCAAAACATTTACTTTGTATGTGAGGGGTTCTAGGAGAGGTCCAGAGACAGAACTTAACAGCTCACAAAGGTTCCATCACACACTGCAGCAGAACCAGCATGACTGTCCCACTGGCTCATCTTCTCCAGTGAGAAAATTGGGCAAACCAGTGACTCAAGTCATCATTACCAAAACATAAGGCTGCTCAACAACTTGAGAAGCTCAAGAAATAGCTCTGTTCTAGCTACATAAGAAATCAGAAGTCAAGACATCTTTATCTGAGTGTCATCAAGACTGTTTCTCATTCTCCACAATATTTTTCTATTTTTGTATTATATGCATTATATATATATTTACGTTATAAAACAGACATTAGAATAAGCAAATGGAGATGGACAAGGTAATAAAAAAGCCAGATGAATGATAATAGGAAGAATAAATTTGCATTCAATTTTTTTTTTTTTACCTGCACAGAAGTATCAAACACAATTACTTACCTGTAGTCAAAAGCCATAAATAACCACTTCACCTCTGCACAAGAGTGGCTTCTGCAGCAACTGAACTGCAAAAAGCTGGCAGCGTACATCTGTACACTCTTTACATAAACCCTAAATCTCAGCGTAAGTAAACATCATTTAGCTCTCACCACAATATCTGTCTGACAACCCTGACTTACCTGGTGGCATACCAGGCATAAGAGGTGGTATTCCTGGCCCAGGAGGCATCATTCCACCCATTGGCATCATCCTATTGAGTAAAGTGATCATTAGAACAAACACACACGATAAACCACTAAAATATTGGCACATTACCTGTATTAGATAAATAACACAGCAAATAATTTCAGGAAGCAATCAGTAAACAGCTGACTGCAGCTATGTGTTTTTAAACAAGGAAATAAAAACATAAGTTCCAAATGCTTCTCATTTGAACTTTCATTCCCCAAGCATTCACTTCCTCTTTTATCAGATTCCAGAACTAGTGCTTCTCATGATATACACTTCAGAATACTTCCAGACACTTGAAGCTGGGTTACAGGAAGCAGAATGAAGGAATATCTAGTATCTTATTTTAGCAACTGAACAGTTTTGTAGCAGCCAATGTGTGCCAAATCATTACTATGAAGCAATTTCTATTTTACATAGCAAAATCAAGAAACATTACTGTTCCCGTTTCAAAATCAAAATGAATCATGAGGAGGTGAGTATTCATTCTCTGTAGCAGCTTGTAACCCAGCCATACTATCTTCTCAACCTGCCTACTAAGGGAACAACCAGTGCAGAAGCACAGCTGGGAACACACAACTACCACTCCTTTTCTGGATTAAAGTCTGGACAAGGCAGTCAGTCTTGCTATCTGTTTGGACAACTGTCAAACCAAAAAGTTGCTGCTGCTGCCACCAGAAATGTAACTGCCTGAAAAACTGCAGATAGCAAGTTGTTAGCAAATTGATTTGCTTCTTTTACTAGAAGACACATTACATTCATCTGAAATTAACAAAGACCTTAAGGAGAACTACACACCAGCAAGCTTGATAAAATTCTGTTCAGTTTCCACCCAGAAAAGCTGCAATCATGAACATCCACAAAGACGTCTGATTAAGACATTATTTTTACACTTAAAGACTGTTAAAAGAGTATCAGTGCTTCAGAAGAGAACAGCCTATCACCTCGGTGAACTTTAAACAAAAACAAATCTCCTGCATTAAGTCCTACAGGTAAAGGACTAAGCACATGGAGCTGTTTGTACTCTGATGCAAGGAAGGATATAAATCCCAAAGTACCTATTTAATTAATATTCTGCAGGATGTGTTCCCTGCAACGTGTAGTTTTGTAACAAGCGTTTAGATAAAGAATAAAAACTTCATTATACAACAAAACATAGCTAGACATTTTCCCCAGATGCTCCAGCAAAATTCAGATGTTTTCAAGTAAGACAACTTTCAATCTTATCAAATATACAACATAAAATGGCATAATGAATGTACCTATAATTACATTAATGAGATGCTTACATGTTTCCACCACAAAATGACTGCATGTATTTTCTTTGTTGATGTAATCTGTGAAAATTTATGACAAAATCAAAAATCTAACTGTGATTTTTCCAAACACATTATGATAGGGTACGGTGTAAATCCCAAACAAACATCAATACCAACAACTTACTCTTGCCCAAAATACAAGAATTTTATTCTCATATTTAAAGAAATTTAAACTATCCAGTATTTTTTCTGGATAGATTGGATGACTGACAGCCAGATGGTACAAAATGTGCCATACACAAACCAGAGCTTCACATAAGGCTTTAAACCAACACAACACATTTTAAAACCGTTATGAAATTACAAAATAAAATCAAGACAAAGGCAATATACTTTACACATAAATTCACAGTTGGGCTGTATTTTTAATGTTGGTTTATAGCCATCCAGATTTTTGGTGTATCTTAACATTAAGGTTACAGAGTTCACAGGTTCCTGCACGTAATTTCTATTTAGCTTTACTCTTTCTGTGACAGTTTAAAACACAAAGCATGGAAACATCACTCTAAATCTTTCTAGCTACTCACCCAGGTGGCATTCCAGGCATAACTGGAGGCATTCCAGGCATCATAGGTGGGACACCTGCCATTAATGGTGGTATACCTTAAAAAAAGGAAAATAAACTTTAAACACCAACAACATATATTCATCACCAAATCTATTTAATACAGGAAACTGTAAAATACTTGTTTTTGAAATAATGTCACTTACAAATAACAAGTTATAAAAGATTATCTACAAATCTGATTTTGATCCATGGTTCCCAACTCTACAAGACACCCAATGTAACCTTCCTTAGCAGAATCACTAAAGAGCATGCCTCAACACTGCAGAAAACATCAGAAAGGTCAGTTTTCACAGTCACTAATTGAAATGCTTTTTGCAAGTTCAGTTGTATTCTGTGCATAAAATCTCCATCCTATGTTAGCATAAATCCAAGGTACCCCTTCAGCCTTCTATTTCTAAAATCTTGTTATGAAGTATCACAAAGTAGATCTATGTTTAAACTGCTAATCTGTTTTAGTACCACACTGACAGTTTTTCAATCTAGAAGCAAACGTTAGCTATTTTAATCTGCATTACTGAGGAAGATGTGCACGCCCCTGCACCAGGGGCAGGAAGAACCTGAAGGAACTGCTCACATGCACCACACTAAACTATTTTCAGACCACAAACCCTCTGCACTGGAGAATACTAATTAGCAGATTATAATTCCAAGTAGAGATCTGTATTCCTACTCAGCCTTTCAATACCTAGGTCAAAAATAGCACCCTTACCAGGAGGCATCCCTGGCGCACCTGGCACAGGAGGCAAACCTGGTTGTGCCATTGGGGGAATGTACCCCTGCTGCGGCTGAACTTGTTGGGGCTGAAATGAAGTGGAAGCTGCAGATTCATCATCTTCGTATTCATCAGAATCATCCTGTTGCTTCTTCTTCTGGCTCTCTGCTGAATTGTACAATGCACATGGTCAAAGGAAAGTAAACAATATCCTATGAAATTAATTTTTATCTGGAGTATTCTAGTTGGAATGACAATACTTTCAAGTCTTATCAGGATGTTCAAAAATTCACATGATTAGAGAAGAGAAACCATGCGAGTCTACTATTATATGTACAAAAAATAAAGGGAAGTGACTCACACTATAGGAACTCTCAGTGTAAATGGGGTCTACCTTCCAGTTTCTGGCTGGAGAGAATAAGCCAGAACAACTCAAAGGCATAATTACAGAACAAAGAAGACTAAGTATTCCTACGCTGTCAGACTAACATAATTCCTGGTCTATACAAAACAAACAAATAAACAAAAAACCCTAAAATTCATCATCCCCGTAAGCTGAATGCTTTCTTTCTAAACAGGGAAAAAAAAAAAAAAAAGTATCAGTATCATCACTTGTCTTTCTACATGATTGGCCATGTCAAGGGTTGCAGTTAGGGAAATGTATTAATACAGTTCTTATTCTCCTAAAGACTTATACCTATATCACACAGGGCCAAAATACGACAAATCAATTTTCATATCTAAAAACAGACGAGGGAGGCTCCCCTACCCCTCAAAAAAGCACTCATCCCAAAACATCAATAACAGTTTTCTTCCCAAAACCTATAAATAACGTATCGAGAGGCAGGCAAAACACATCAGAACAATAAAAATATCGACCTACAATTTCAAGACAAAGCAATACTGCCTACTGTACGCTGAAGTTGCACTACTCAACGTGGATAGTGCACTCAAAGAATACAGATCAAAACTTAAGCAAAGCGCCATGCAGATGACAGATAATCAGCTAGATCACACTTTACCCTGAGTTTTTTGTTCAAGTAACCTCCTCCGTTCCTCCATATCTTTTTCTGGAATGCCCTCCATGCCATAGATTTCCAGTTCAATGTCTGTTCTTCCAGGAATAGCATTTGGAACAGCGTCTATTGTTTCTTTATGTACCTAAAAAGAAAAAGAAAAAAACCTCCTGATCAAAACTCAGGTTAGATTTAGGTTTTTCTTCACTAGTTTAATTTCAAAAGACAAACAAAACATCCTTAATGGGAGCCATTTTCTGGATACTCCTCTAGTCGCTGTAACTACTATTAACTTCTAAAACTAGTTTATAAACTCTGATTCACTAAGACAATGCAATTCACCCACTCCTACATTCAAAAACTGACCACAAATATCTCTGCTGCATACCCACCACACAAACTGCTGACACTCAGGAGACCTGCTCTTGAAGCTTAACACTACTTTCTCTCATCATTTTCCAGGATTGTGGAAACCCCAAGAGAACACATTTTTTTAAGCTGATTATTCCAATTTTAAACACTGTCAAAAAAGTTTTCTGCAAGACTAAAACTTCTTACCTGCATGCAATGTATAGCTAAACCAGGTCCTGTATACAATTTCTTATGACATATATGGCATTTAAAGTGCTTTGCTTTTTGATGCTGTATAAGGATTTTTTCATCATCAAAATCCCTGTTACAATACCTATTGAAGATTGTTAAGGAAATATCTGACACTAAAAGTGAGCTAATTAGTGTTGTTGGTTTTTTTTCTAGTGGAAACTGAAAGCACAAAAAGCAACCCTGAGCTTTCAGAGCACCAGTATTTCATCCACGTCTGAAACCAAACCTCTTTCCTTACACCACCCAGTAACATCAGAGAACAGCAAGATGTGCCCAAGCAACCATAATCATAACATTCTGACAGATGCTTTTTTAAGTCACAGTTTTTTCTAAGTGGACTCCTCTTCATCTTTTACATATTTTTACATTAAAATGTTGCTAGAGCAGCAAAGGAGAAAGATGAGAGATCCACAAATGGGAAGCAACACCGAATACTCTGAAACACCCAATTAATAACACATACTGGCAGCTAACGCTTATGGAAGAAGAAAATACAGTTTTAGTTGAGAACTCCCTTTTCAGCCACTCAACTGACCAAAATCTTAAGACATCACAAGATTCACTGCATTCATAACAGAACTTTATGTTTCTAAACTGAAACGTTTGAAGAACTTTTCGAGCTGTTGCGTAATGAGAAGCAAATGGCCGTTTCTTTTGTGCAGCTCAGCACGAAGGCTTCAGCAGGCACTGCAGCCATCCTGCTAAGCAGGAGAGCTACACTGGGTACTACCTGCTCCTCATTAACAGTGTGTCCTTCACTTTCAACAAAACCTGATAAATAAAATCCAAGCGGATTATAAATTCCTTTATTAAAGATTAATTAAAAAAAAAAAAAGGGGAGAGAAGTATGCTTGTAATCACTCTTCAACAAAAAGCAGATTATAAAAGGGCTAACTCGTGAAAAACCCATCGGTATTTTTTCACGCTGAGACATTTTGACGCAGCAAACATAAGTTATATATTCTAAAATGAGCTTTCCAACAGCTCTCTCTCCCACAACCACTCGTGCCTCTCTGATTAACACCCAGCACGGCGCTGCTCACGGAGATGCGGTGCCTTCGTGAGGAACAACGGCCGCTCCGGGCCCAGCGCAGGGCGAGCGGGCGGGCCGGGCCGCGCGGGGGGCGGGGAAGGATTAGAGAGGAAGGACACGGGGAAGGCCCCAGGCCGGGATCAGGGCACAGACAGGGAGTGAGCACGAAGCGAACGGGAAAAAAGAAAAGAAAAGAAAACAAAACAACAACACAAAAGAAACAACAAAAAGACCGGCGTCCACGGGGCAGCGCGGAGCTCCGCGCACACCGGAGGAGATCGCGCCCTGCGCCCCTCCCCCACCCCGCCCCACACAGCGCACACTGAAGGATACCAGCACCAAGGCTTCAGCTGCTTCTTCTTCTTACGGCCCATGACGACGGAACACGCGACCTACGCAGAAAAAAAAATAATAATAATAATTTAAAAAAAAAAACGACGACCTTCTTCCCCACCGAGCCGCAGCGCCCGCAACCGCCGCCGCGCAGACCGAGGCAGGCACAAAATGGCCGCCACGCACCTCCTGGCACGGCCGCCCCCGAGCTCCCAGCGCGCACCGCGCGGCGGCGGGAAGGGGGGCCGCCCACGTGACCGGCTCCGTCCCGGCATGCCTGTGGGCGGGAGCCGCCATTTTGTGTCAGCCTTGGGGCCGGGCTGCGGGTTTGCGAGGCGGCGCGGATTCCGTAACATCCATTGCGTCTTTCAATAAATCACATGAGCAGCGGCTGCAGCTGCGCAAGCCGTCTCGCTTTGCTCACACGCTCTTTCAGTTCTACGCTCGGGTACCGCGCGCTGACAGATCCGGTCCGCCCCTGAGCTGCGGGCTCCGCATCATCGCCCTCACGGCGCGCACCGCACGGCCGCGGGAGGCGCTGAGGCGCAGCCTGCCCGGCCCTCGGGGCGGGGAGCGGGGCTGCGGGGTGTCGCGGCGCGGCCGGGCGGCGGGATGCTGACGGCGCTGCCGGACGGCGATGAGCGGGAGCTGGAGAGCAGCGAGGAGGGCGGCGGCGGTGCGGGAGACGAGCGGCGGCCGGAGCGGCACGGCAGCACCTACCACAGCCTGTACGGCTACCGGAGCCGCAGGTGAGCGGCCTCGCGGGCGGACGTTCCCGGGCCCTGCGCGCTGCCAGCCGCTCGATTCTGCTTTTATTTTCACCTTTCCGTAAAGACGTTGTGTTTGGTGTTTTTTTTTTTTTCTCCTGTAATATTCTGATTTCCTGCTCTATATCACCCTCGGGCCGTACCTTTTCCTAGCGGCCGTTCTGCCTGCAAACAAAGGTGTGCTAAGAGTTCCTTGCCCTCAGGTCCTCGCGGCGAGGAGCGGATGGCGGCGCGGCGCCTGGCAGCCCTCCCGGCCGGGACTTCAGGTACGGCGCGTCCGCGCCCCGCTCCGCCCCGTCCCCTCAGGACGCCCTGCTGCAGCACAACAGGCTGTGCTGTGGTGGGCAAACTGCTGACTGCACTGATGGGCCCGAAAGCACAGAGAGAAACCACAGTGCTCCTCCTTCCAGAGCATGAGACGGCATGCGGGCGCTTCTGCTCTTCTTCAGAAGAAACAAAACGTTTGTTATTTGTTAATGCTTTCATCTTGCTTTTTTAAAGCCTCTCTTTGCTGGATACAAACTTACCAGCTGAAGCAGAAACCGAACTGCGTGGTTTTATTGCTAAACGCCTGGCCAAAGGAGCCGTTTTTGAAGGGATGGGGAATGTAGCAACTGTGGATTTGAGGTAAGATATGCTTTTAAAAATTACTTGTGAATGAGAAGATCTAAGAAACATTGGTAGCAGTGCACACCTTGCTATCACCTAGCTTTAAACTTACTGTGATTGCATGCTCCCCGTCCATTGCTGCTGTTAATAACAGCTGTGTGTGAACAACTTTCCACATCAATTTATAGTAATATCTTTAACAACTTTTTTCTTTCTTGCACAGTATACCAGAATGCAAAGTTGGGTGTTATTACTGTCTTTTCCAACAAGAAAGTCTTCTAGAAACAGCAACACTGGAATCGGAAATCAGTGCTCCAGAATATGTAGTCTGTTTTCTAGGTGGCTCAGAGAAAGGCCTGGAACTATATCCTTACCTTTATCTTTCCATATCTGTATGGAGAGGGAGATGATGGAAAAATGATATTCTCTTTTTGTCCATGTTCACCTTGAAATCAGCCCACTTATGCATATGTTCCAGTATGTATGTAACTGAAAATGTCAAAAACAAGCACATACTGAAAGCACAAAATGTGGATCTTAATTGATGCTTCTTATTTTCCTTAAGAAGATACTTTCAGACTTGAATTGGACAAATACGTTCAAAGTCTGAAGCTAAGCCTTGACTTGGAGGTAAGATCTAACTTTTCATATTTGTTAAGTGGTAAAAATGACATATTAAACAAATGTATTACTCAAGCAAACCAGAAGATTTAGTGTATAGAAAACACTCAGAGATGGATACTGGCTTCATGGTGAATGTCTAGAGTACTGTTAACCACAGAAGTCAAGAGGAAAAAAAGAGGGCTTTCTTTGTGCCAGTCATAAATCTCTTAGAGGTTACTTGCAGTTAGCTTCAAAGAGAAAAATGACTAAGAAAATGTAATAATCTACAGGAAGGGTCTCTGTGTCTACCTAGAGTCCTGCCAGTTCTGAACAGCAAGGAGGGATTTTTACTGATGGTCATGTCACCAGTATGTTTTATGTTTCTGTTTCATCTTGTCTGCTGGTGCATGCTCTTTGCTCAGTATGCATCATAATGTGATACAATGTTTTGTATCATATATTACAGTTCTTTCCCTTCATAGCTTTAAATGTCAAACTCATTATTTTGATGTAGCGTGGTTTGAAGTGAAAAACTACTTGACATTAAATATTTTAGGTTGAATAGATTATTAACATTATTGTGTAGAAATCAGGTCTGTGACTAAAAGGTTTCATGTTTTATTGTTTTACAGCAGAAAACGTTGGAGACTTGTGTTAACCCCTACTTAAGAAGCTGGTTTGAGAATTCCATATGCCCAATTCAGAGAGTAGTACAGCTCTTCCAGGAGAAACTGGCCTTCTTGTTACACGCTGTATGTGCATTCTTAACTAACTAAAAGAGGTTCAGCAGCTATCTCCATGACTCTAATATGTTTAAAATGTTTCCTATGTTTTCTTTCTCAAACAGGTATAAATTAGAAACATCTTCTGCGTTATTTTTGGTTATTTGTTTATTGTTGTTCGTTTTTACTTTGGATGGAATAGCTAGTTAAGTATAACCAGTGTATTCTGAATGCAAAGTCAGCTGCAATGTCTATAATGTGGAATATTCCCTTGGCTTCTTCTCTTACTCTGAAAAGAACAAAATTAATATGCTTTGTATTTCTTGCTAGTAACTACAGTACAGCAACAGAAGTAATATACAAATTGTGTCTAACTTTTAAGCTTTGTTTGTTTTAAGGCACTGAGTTATACTCCTGTGGAAGTGAAAAATGCAGATGAAAGAACAGAAAAAGACATTAGCAGGTAAAGATGCTTTGAGACAGAGGAACCCGTGAGTAACTGCTTTTGTGTGTGATACTTTCCTCTTCTGCTCATTCAGAAACTATGGAGAAACAGCAGCTCACAGTAGTTTCTGTGTTAGGTTTCTGGCAGCTGCCAGCCTCCAAGGCCTTGTTCAGGAAGGCACAATGACCTCCTTGTGCATTGCCATGACTGAGGAACAGCACAAGTCAATGGTTGTAGACTGTATTGGAGCCCAGCCTCAGCTGCACAATGCAGGTGAGATTACAGCTGTTAATACCCTTGTATTCCTCAGGGCTGCTGAGACTCCTTGGTGATAGAGATATTTGAGGATATTTGGCAGCTCGTAGGTTTATGCCCATGTAGTCTGGATTCTGGTTGGAAACTAAAATGCTGCTTTTCCTATCAGGTAGTAATTTGTTTTAGCAGTTCTAGTTTGCAGACTATGAAACTATAACGTATACACTTCTGGGAAGCTGATTTTTTTTTTTTTTTTCCCCCAATTGGATTTTTGACAGTTGTGAATTCAACAATCAGCAGAATTTCATGCAATCACTGTAGCTGTGTTTGCTTTTCCATGTGTATTTTTTTCCTTTAGACTTAATTCCCGGCTCAGATATTATCAGTTGTATGAAACAAGGTGAATGCAGCTGTTTATCTGGTTTACTTTTTGCTCATGTCTTCTCTGTGTTCCTGAACATTTAACAGGAAGCAACAGATTCTGTGAGGACTGGATGCATGCTTTTGTAAATGGTGCTGAAGGTGGAAATCCATTTCTGTTCCGGCAAATTTTGGAAAACTTTAAATTGAAGGTAATGGTTAATGTGTGGTAAAGACACATTACTCACTTAATTTTACATCAATTCATTTGTCTCTATTCTTCCTTCAGTTTTCCACATTATATTTCCTTTCCATGTACAAAGATAAGAAAATGTTCTATAACTGTCTTTCCAGGCAATACAGGACATTAACAACCTGAAGAGGTTTATTCGACAGGCTGAAATGAACCACTACGCCTTGTTCAAGTGTTACATGTTCTTAAAGAACTGTGGCAGTGGAGACATCCTTTTGAAGATTGTTAAAGTAGAACATGCAGAAATGCCAGAAGCCAGAAACGTAGTGACTGTCCTTGAGGAATTCATGAGAGAAACAGCAGTGGCTTAAAATTATCTTAATTATTCTACAGTTGTTGGAGAGTATTGTATAAATCATTAATTTCTTCTGTGCAGCTTAGTTTCACTATTGCAGAAATTTTACTTTTAAAAGCATTACCTGAGTCAAACCTAAGTTGCAATTTCAGCTCCTTTTCTCCCTATAGAGAGAAAAACAGCTTTTTTTAATGTGTAAATATCAGATCTTAAAAAACACTATTTTCAATGCTCAACGTTCTGCAACTGATGTGTTCATCTTGTGAAAAAATCATTACATTTATGGGTTGCTTTTTTGTTTGTTTGTTTGTTTTTTTTTTTTGTACAGTGTTGGTATGAAAAAGAGAAGATTTTAAATATTTTAAGTATATTTAAAATTACCATGTATAATAATTTAGATCCATTTACTTGTTTTAGTAGAAAAAGAAGCACAAACATTTAGATAAAATAGATAGTAAATGAGTTCATATTTGTTCATGTGAGGGAATATAAAAAGTCTGTAGCTAGTTTCTACATTCTACTTTCAAAGCAGCACTTTGCTCTTCTGTTATTGAAGAAACAACTTATTTATCGACAGGAGATAGGAAGCCTGAGCAGGGTTCTAGGACTCAATTTGTATGTGCTTCTGTCCATATATATGCTGGTCAGGCATGTTAAATTCCCAGACTAAATTATGAATCCAATTTATTTGTTTATATTTTTGTGACCAGGATCTTTGTACATTCCTAGTATCCCTTTTGTAAAATTAAAAATAATTGTATGTAGTGAAAAATGAATCGTGAAGATTTTCTAGATTCAGTATTAACTTCATAAAAGCTTCTTCTTAAATTGAAATAAACTAACTGTCCAAATTAATTATTCAGAATTGAAAACACTTCCTTGTATTTTAGCAATTAATTCTTGTTCACATCATAGGACAT